TATTCATTTAGTTGCCTATTTTCTGATTAGGTCATTTATTTGTTGAGTTGTTTAATTTTTTTCTGTATTCTAGATTTAATCCTTTGTCCAAGGCATAGCTGGCAAAATCTTTTTCTGTAAGTTGTTTCTTCACTTGGTTATTTCCTTTTTTTTTTTCATGTATTTATGGGTCATTTGTGCATCTTCCTCTGAGAAGTGCCTATTCATTTAGTTGCCTATTTTCTGATTAGGTCATTTATTTGTTGAGTTGTTTAATTTTTTTCTGTATTCTAGATTTAATCCTTTGTCCAAGGCATAGCTGGCAAAATCTTTTTCTGTAAGTTGTTTCTTCACTTGGTTATTTCCTTTGCTATTTGGAAGCACTGTAATTTGCTTGTGATCCTGTTTGTTGATTATTGATGTTGTTCCTTCTGCAGTTGTGTCTCTGATCAAAAAGTCTGCCTATATCTTCAAGGGTTTTATTTTATTTTTTTTTTTTTGTGGTACTGAAGATCAAACTCAGGATCTTGTGTTTTCAAGGCAGCCAATGGAATCACTGAGCTAAAAACCTGGCCCTGGTTTTACCTATTTTATCTTTCAAAAGTTTAAGTTTTTCTGTTTTAAAACCTACATCTTTGATTCATTTTTGTTTTATGTTAATGCAAGCCAGAAATATAGGTCTGGATTTAATCTTTGCATGTGTGTAACCAATTTTACCAGCACCATTTATTAAAGAGGTTCTTTTACCTCCAGTTTGTTTTTGATCCCTCTGTCAAAGATCAGATAGCTGAGTGTACCTAGGGTTGTTTTTGTAGCTTCTGTTCCATTGATCCACATGTCTGTTTTGGGTTGATTACCATGCTGTTTTTATTACTGTTGATTTGTAATATAACCTGATAATGCAGGATTGTGATTGTGATTCCTCCTGCTTTGCTCTTGTTACCTAGGATTGCTTTTGCTATTCTGCTAGTCTTCTGGTTCCATATGAATGTTAAGATTTTTTTCTAGTTCTGTGAGAAGTACTGTTGATATTTTGATTGGGATTGCATTAAATCAATCAGTTTTGTAGTATGGCCATTTTGACAATATTGTTTCTGTGTATCCAAGAACAGGAGTTATCTTTCCATTTTCTAATGTCTTCTTTGACTCCTTTCTAAGAATACTTTAGTTTTTGTTATAGAAGTCTTTCACTTCCTTGGTTAATTCCAAAGTATTTAATTTTTCTTGACGTTATTGTGAATGGTATTGTTTTCCTAATGTCTTTCTCAGTGAGTTCATTATTGGTGTCCAGGAGCATTATTGGTTTCTTGTGTGCTGATTTTGTACCATGTTATCTTGTTAGATGTATTCTAGTTCTCTGCTACATTTTTGGGGGTCTTCTATTTGAAGGAACATATTGTCCATGTATAAGAATAGAAGAAGAACTTCTTCCTTTCCCATACATATCCCTTTTATTTCTTTGCTTGCCTGATAGCACTGGCTAAAATTTTGAGTACTGTATTGAATTGTGGTCACAGTGGACATCCTTTTCCTGTTCTTGATTTTAGAGGTAAAGTTTTTGCCCTATTTAATATGATGTTACCTTAGATTTCTCATAATTGGCTTCTATCAGATTTTTATCTATATACCTATTTTCTGCAGGGTTTTTTTTTTAATACTATGAATGGATATGCCCCTTTGTCAAGGCTTTTTCTGCATGCATTGAGATGATCGTGTGATTTTTTTTTGTCCTCCCTTCTGTTTATGTGCTATATTACATTTATTGATTTTCATGTTCACTAAAGAAACTGGCCTGTATTTTTTTGTTTTGTTTTGTTAAGTTCTTGTTTGGTTTCGAATGAAGGTAATGCACGTGTCCAGTGATTAGTCTGGTAGTAGTCTGTTCCTTTCTGTTTTTTTTTTTT